GTGCATTTACCAAAGATTGGGTTATTGGCTGATTTTAAAGAATGATGCATTCAGAAAGCAAACAGGACTCTTCTCCATATGCCAAAGGCTCAGGATTAAGTGATATAATGTTTTAAATACGGAAAAGTATCTTGCGACAGATAATCATTTTGCTTTACAGACCTGAATGTGATAGACCTAAGACCTGAGGCAGATGAATGAATTCGCTTTGTAGCATATGCTATGTTATCTTGATGATAAATCATCTCAATGAATCTCCAAGAACAAGTATTAATAGTGCATCCACATCTTGAATAATGGAAGGGTACAAAATTAACAGTAAAATACATTGTAAGGCATGAGACCAAGGATTCAAAAGCAACTCAGTTCAAGTTTGTCACTTGAAACTGTGGAGAAGCCAGTGCGAAGATAAGGATCCAGATGTCTTGGGTAATTGGAGATAGTGATTTCAGGAGAGCTCCTAATTGGTACCAGTATGACGCTCCTATAAACAATTTCAGATAGCTTTCACCAGTAAATCATGATGATAGAGAAGTTTCTGAATTTCAGAACCCACAACCTGATGGGCTGAAAGAGACCACTGTCTAAAGAGATCGTTTATTGACTTTAGAAAGTTATGCCTGCAAAATGTACTACACATTAATTTCTCTTTAAATATGCAATATGCAGAGATTGTGTGGTACACTGAAGATGAAGTAAGGCTTTTCCTCATTGGATGAGCTCTCACAGATAAACCACACCCTTGGAAGTAAAAACGTGTATATGCTATCATTCACAGTCTCCTCAACAAGCAACACTGCGTCTCAATTCCACTAAGGACTTTTTCTTTTTTCAACCAAAAAAAACATAGACGACCTAAAATAAAGGAATTTCCAGCTAACTAACCGAGTTGGTACAATTTCAATGTGAAAAGCAGAAATTATTTTAAGTCGTGGTTGCTTTTGATGACTTTAGTCTAGATTTGACACATTTTCTTTGCCATTTTTTAGAAATTATGAATGTTAACACAAACATATTTTGTCCACTCATAGTTAGTGGTTACAACTGTCTTTTAAATCACTTTCTAAATAACCCTGATCAAAAGTTTACACCAATTTTTAGGCTGATAACATGCACAAAAACGTACACAGAAGGGTTCGAGCGGCTGGTAAAGGTAAACATCCTCACCTTGTTCTTGAAGAAAAGTGGGTCACATTGTCGAGTTACCAGAAGAAGAAAGCCATTACTACACAAATGCCACAAAGTTGAAGTCGAAGACAAGCTCCAAACTTCTGGAACAAAGTTATTTGGAGCAATTAGACCAAAATATAACTTCACTACATTTGGAGAGGAGTCAGCAAGGCCAATGATGAAGGGAACACCATCCCCAGTGTGAAGCACGGAGGCAGGGCACTGATGTTCTGGGAAATTTGGTCATAATTGATGGAAGATGAATGCAGCATTTTTTTAAAGGATCCTGGAGAAACTGGACATGACAATGATCCAAAACCACCCATCCAAGGCCACGTGGATCTCAGTCTCCGACCTCCTAGATCACTGAAACACTTTGGGGAGAACTCAAACATGCCGTTCGTGCCAGAATTTACAAGAAGAGTCCAAGAAGAATTTGCTGCTTTACCAACAGCGAAAATAAAGAACCTCATCGACAACTACCTCAAGAGACTTCAGGCTGTCATTAATGTTAAAGGGGGTCCTTAAAGGGGGTTTAACTTAATGTTAGACTTTTGATTAGGGTCATTTGGAAGGTTTCTGTTGTCCTTATGATTTAAAAAGACAATTTTGTTCGACATGCTGATGATTTTGTTTCCTACCTCCCCTAGGATTTAAATTGTTACCTAACTTTTCCCATGTGGAGTTAATTTTACTCCTGCTAAACGTGTTTTTGCAGAGTGTACCCTGCTTGTTCCCATAATAACCATTCTGTTCATGGCTGAAATCTTAATAATTACATCCGAATGTCTCCATCTCGTCTTTGGGCTCACCGTACCTCTGAATAGGAGTGAATCTAAACATAATGTCAGCCTCTTCCGGTCTCTGGAGCCCTCTTCTTGCTCACCTTCTTTCGCTTGCTCATCTGGCATGCACTCACAGCCTGTGTGCAAAAGTCCTCGCCGGCTTGACTGTTTATGATTTTCCAATTAAAGAAATGTAATTTAAATCATTTGTTACCTTTGGGGCAGTCCTGTAATGAGCAGCTTTGTTGATCAGTGTGAAGCTGCGAAGAGTTGTAATTAGTGGTCTAGATTAATCCAGCCACACTCTGTCATCAGAATAATCACAGGCTATGCTCGTAGACTGTTTATTAACAGAGCTTTTTTAATAACATGTAGGTTTTCTCTCAGATGCGGGGGCTCTAATTTCCAGTGTAATAAGCCACACGCCGTCTTTAGTGTGATGTCACTTGGAGCTAGTCTGAAGAATATTTTAATCAATCCATTTTCCTCACCTTGTTATTCCTAGTTAGGGTCACAGGGTTCTCCAGATGCCTGTAAGCATGAGCTGCAATTAATTTATTAACCTTTAACACTCTGGGGTGTTTTCCGACTGGATAATCGTGTATAAATGGGTTTTCCTTGTATTATTGAAAGCCACAAACATTTGTCTAGAAAAACTGCACTAAAAAAAGCCCAGATTTTTACTTTAAAAAAATTTAAAGGAAATTGGTTGCCTCAAACATAATAAGTAATGTGTTCTTGCCTGTTTAAGTGCTTAGCTTAAAAACTGGGCACAAACGAGCATCATGTGGCACATGTTCTACTGTGCCCTTTAATTAACAGAGAGTATTGATCTCTGAGAAGATGAATGCTTTCATTTCAGGCTTTTGCTTTGGTAAGCATACCGTACATTATAGACAGGAATCTCTCGTCTCTGTAATGCAGGTTTATCTATTTTAATCCATAGAGGAAGAATGAAATGATCACAGAATATTACTTGGAGTACCCCATGGGTGAATTCTTGGACCGTTTCTCTTGTCTTTTTGTATTCATTAGGTTCAAAGATAACTGCTATTCTTCCAAATATTTCCTTTGTATTTAAAACTTCCTCTACTTTTGGTGAATAAATGAGAGAAGTTTCACCAACAAACTGTCTTTGTACCTAGTCGTATTTTTGACCGCTATTTTCATTGTTTTGTGGGGTTGAAGCTGTATCAAATGAGTTTGAGTCAACCCTTTGGCGAAGGACAGAGCTTGCTGTATCTCTGTCTGCAAAATTTATAGCATGCAGTGTTCAAGCATTTTGTTTTAGGGTGTATGAGAAACACAAGCACTTTGACTCAGCGTCATTGAGGTACTTTAGAAAGGGACAACATGGAGATCAAGTGGGCTTTTTGCTATTAAATCCTGTCTGAACTGAAAAGCATGCAGCAGAGATTTCTTGTTTGCCCTTTTTTTAAGCTGAACACTTTTGTTATCTCCAATGGTGTGAGCACGTTGTGTGGTCCTCTGGATGGAAGCCGTGAATTTATGCAATTATTTAATTATTTTTCCCATCGACAAGTTCACATTATTTACATCAGAAAAGGAGGGAGTTAAAAGATAAGGAGGAAGACAATAAGAGATGCAGGTGAGGGGGAAAAATTCAGGACTGAGAAGAGCCCAGACCCACCCCACTCTCCCGAAGACTGACGGCACTCACAGAGAGGAACGCCATAGGCCCCTACCACATGAAGGGGGTAGATGCTTCATTTGAGCTTGACAGTTTTGTTATCTCCAGGGGAGTGAGCACCTGGTGTGGTGTTTCTTCCTGTGTATGGAAGCCGTGAATTTATGCAATTATTTATTTATTTATTTATTTATTTATTTATTTATTTATTTATTTATTTATTTATTTATTTATTTATTTATTCCCATGGACCAGTTCACATTAATTACATCAGGACTGGAGGGAGTTAAAAGAAAAGGGAGTAGAGAATGAGTGATGTAGGTGAGGGGGAAAGGTTCAGGACTGAGAAGAGCATCAAGACCAGAGCCCGTATCGCTCCACTCTCCCAAAGACTGAAGGCACTCACAGAGAGGAACCACAAGGGGGCCCGCCACGGCAGCAGGAGGACAGACAGCCTAGAGACAGCCAGGCAGTCACCCCCAGAAGCATGGGACGACAATCAAATCAAAGTTTATTTAGCATTTCTGTTGTCAAGAGCATATCACAAAGAAAAATGAACAAATAAAGCGATTTTTCTTGATTTCGATATGTCCCTAAAGTTAAAACAGCCTATTTTTTTCAGGGTGGGGGGTGAAAACATTCTTCCTTCAAAGAGAGAAACGACGGTAAAAGTTTGAGAAGCACAGATGTACAGGGACTGTAATGTTTATTAGCACTTGTGATGTGAGAGAGGAAAGTAATTTTGGTGTGAAAGTCAGAGGAGCCCATCATGCACCTGTCTGTATCTCTGAAGGAAGCCACACATCTCACCGGTGCTTCCCTTGATTGTCTCATCACCCTGCTGATCAAGCAGGTGTCTCTAGAGGGGAGGACAGAGTATTACTCCGCATGGCGACATGTTGAAATTATAAATGAAGACATTATACTTTCACTGCCATATGGATGGGCTGCTACTCTCTGTGTGAAGTAGAGACCCCCCCGCCCACCCCATCCCAGTCATGGAATAAAAACAGAATTATGAGCTAACTTTAAAGGTGGAATGTTTTGTCATCACCAAAAAAGGTTCAAACTCAAGCTTATCTCTTTGGTGGTGACTGAAACGGCAGGTTTGAATGTCAACAGTAGAACTCTCAGAATACTGGATTCTGATTGGCTGATTTTGTTGATTAATTTTGCATAACTGCATAGGTAGCACCGGTTTGGTTTGTTCACTTTTATTATCAAGTGTATAAATGGCACTTGACCTCTCATTGCTAACAAGGGGCATAAAACATCATCTTTTTAGGAAGGAGAACTTGCACAATTGGTTGTTGACTAAATACATTTACATTTATGCATTTGGCAGACGCTTTTATCCAAAACGACTTACAGGAATTTTACATTTTTTTGTCAGTTTTTGCTTTCCCTGGGATTTGAGCCCACAACCTTTGCATTGTTAGCACAATGCTGTACTGGCTGAGCCACAGGAAAACTCACATAATAAAGTTAAAATCTTATTTGAATACATTTAAAAACAAATGATAATAATGTTGATCCTCTTTCAGGCCACTGATCCGGATCTGGGTGTTAATGGACAGGTTCGGTATCGACTCCTCACCAACACAGACCTCTTCAGGATCACGGCTAACGGAAGCATCTTCACTGCGGCTCCGCTGGACCGAGAGAAGAGGGATCAGTATGAACTCGTTGTTCAGGCTTCGGATGGGGCCAAAGACCCCCGGCGGACCACTCTTACACTCTTCATTAGAGTCCTGGATGTGGATGATAACAGCCCGATCTTCTCTCAATCGGCTTACCATGCCGTGTTGCCAGAAAATAGCCCGGCTGGCACAGTCTTCCTCAATATTAGTGTAAGTTATTTTTAGTCATTCATGCACAGCAGTATTTTATCATTCTTTTGTGTGGACCCCCCACCCCTCACACCCCTTTAACCCCCCACCCCTGAAACATGCAGAAGAAAGTAGATGACAGAAACTCCAAATGTCTTTATATGTTCTGCAAATCCAATAGTGATGAAATATGACCATGACTAGTGGTCGGCATAGATTATTATTTAAAAAAAAAAAGTTTTACAAAACGTTATTTTATTTTGCAACATGAAATGATTCGAAATGATCAAATGTGCCAGAAAGACGGACGGACAGACTGTCAGAAATTCAGACAGCCAGGTGGATAGACAGGCAGCCAGATGGAAAGCCAGACGGACAGACAGCCAGATTGTTGGATGGACGAAGAGACGAATGGACAGCTAGATAAAAACCAGATAAAAAGCCGGATAGCCAGATGAAAAGCCAGAGAGCCAGCCAGACTGACGAACGGACGGATGGATGGACAGGCAGCTGGACAGCCAGATGGACAGACAGACAGCCAGACCAACGGATGAACGGAGAGACAAACGGACAGCAAGCTAGACAGACAGCTACATAAAAAGCCAGATAGAAAGCTGGAACACCAGCTGGACAGCCAGAAGGAAAGCCAGACAGCCAGCCAGACTGATGGACGGATGGATGGATGGATGGATGGATGGATAGACAGGCAGCCGGACAGCCAGACAGATGGATGGACAGGCAGATGGAAAGCCAGACAGACAGCTGGAAAGTCAGCCAGAACACCAGCCAAACAGTCAGATACAAAGCCGGACATCAAGATAGAAAGCCGGACAGCCAGCTAGACAACAAGATAGAAAGCTGGACAGCCAGCCGACCAGCCAGATGGAAAGCCAGACAGACAGACAGACAGACAGGCCGACAGATGAACTGAGAGAACAGACAGCAAGCTAGACAGACAGCTAGATAAAAAGCCAGATAGAAAGCCCGAACACCAGCTGGACAGCCAAATAGAAAGCTAACTGGACAGCCAGTAGGACCAATGGACAGATGGACAGACAGTCAAACAGCCAGACTAACGGATGGACAGACAGACCAACGGACAGACAGACAGACAGACATAACAGCCCGATAGAAATTGGGACAGCTAGATAGAAAGCCAACTGGATAGACATATAGACTAATGGACGGATGGACAGACAGCCGGCCAGACAGACAGACAGACTATGACATCAAACATGGCAAGATTACAAACAGAACTTTCGGAGAATAGGCTCTGGAGTTTTTCTCTAATGTTATATCTAAACTTGACATCTCTGACATGTTTTGTAAATGTGTTTTTTTCCTGAAACTTTAGGTCTTGAAGCTTGACTTGCAGAGGGAGCTTTAGGGTAAACCATTAGTTGTTTGTACATCCATCTAAAATGCTTTGTCCTGCAAGCTGCACACTAGCTGTGCATACTTTTTATTCTACCAAGTCTTTCATAGATGAAACTATGCAATGGTTTTCATTTGTACAGCAAACAACACACTTTCTAATGGCATGAGCACTGGCAGAGAACTAGAGAAAGAAAACAGGAAATGTGGTGGAAGTTAAACCTTTGAAAATCCACTCTGAATAAAGCTTCCATAAATCTCTTTCAAACACATAGTTTATTTCAAGTGTTCCAAAATAGTTTAAGCATTAAATGTCCATTAAAAGAAGCAAGCATTTTATCAGGAATCTATCCGGCCCCTATGATCATTTTTCTGTTTCTGTCCTTTCCTTCTTTTAATCTCTCAAAAATCATTATATTTAAAAATGGCTGATCATAAATTAACATTCATGCAAGTTTTTCTGAAATTTCTATATTCACTCCAATGTCTTTAAATATGCCAATCAACATTATAACTATGTTTCTTATCAGCAAAAGACTCAGAAAGCACCCTAGATGTGAAAAATCTCCAATAATATAGTCATGACATCAGGAAATAAAATCAGAATAAACTTGTTGGCCTTTTTGGAGTTGCAGCCCTCCGTTGCTTTAATCATCCAAAGCTGCTCTTCTGCCTCGCACTTGATGTATTTCATTTTGCTGTATTTTATCATGCAAGCTCCTCTTGCTCTCAATGACTGCTGGGAAGCATCTCTAATTTACACTTTGCTTCAGGGTCACAGCTGGATGTTTTTCATCAATTTTTCAACCTGCACTTTTTGTTTATGCAGATTTGAATGGATTCCGAAGGTAGAATTACCAATCTGAAGTGATTTTGCTTATTCATTGCCTCCTCACGCAGGCGGTGGACCCTGATCTTGATGCCAACACCACGTATCGAATCCGAACGAAGGATGCAAGAGACTTGTTTGCTGTGGATCCTCTCACCGGAGAGCTGAAATCACTTCGATCACTTGATTTCGAGAAACTTTTACCAAACGCTACAACACAAACCTTTGTGGTGGAGGCTCTGGATGGTGGAAGTGGAAAGATGCCTCCGGGTTTAGCATCTGTTACTGTCACTGTTCTGGTAAGAGATTCCGGTACCCTCAGCTCTTTTCATTTTCAATCTGTGTGAAATTAAATGCTTTCGGCTTTTATCTGTATACTACGGTGCTCAGCATAAATGAGTGCACACCCTTTAAAAAATACAAATTGAATCAGTAGCTCAATGAACAAAAGAACAATTTCCAAACTTTTCACAAGGCTGGGTTTTCAAAAGGACACTTTTTTAACTCCGTAACATGAATAAAGGTTAAGAATGAAACCTAGATCATGGAAACTTCAGTTTTACTCAAATTGAAAGCAAAAGATAATACACTCTGCAACAAAAGCTACTACATCTACATTTATTGAGCCCTGAGATTTTTAAGTCTTCAAGACATGGAATGAACAGATTGCAGCATCTATCTTTTTCATTCTTTAAGAAGAACCTCTGTATATAACTGATAGTTAGCTGCTATGGGAAATGAAAGAGCAGAAGTGAGCAATAAAAATGCAACATGATCCATGAAGACTCTAAACGGTCAAGTGATTATGACGGTGGAGAGACCCCAAGGCCTCGTTCTGATGGAGGTAACAGTCCCGAGAGCCTCATTAGGAACCCTGCACTGTGCTCAATTACCAACGTCATTTTTCATGTGTTAGGGTGGGTTTGTGTATAAATATAGGATAAAAAAAGGAGGAAAGTTCACCTAAAGATTAATTTATGGGTGTGTTTTTTTTCATTGGGCGTTGTGAGCAATGGTAATTTAAATAATTATTTTTAATTTACAAACAAAATGCTGTAAATGCAAGACAAATTTTTATAATTTTTTAAAATGAAAAATAATAAATATTAAATTGCAATATTGAATACTATTTTCAGAATAATTGATTTCCAGACTATTTGGCAAATTCACTCACTTTTTTGTAGGTCTTGTTGCCTTTCACATTTTTCTAATCAAACTGAAAAGCTTAGCTAGCTAAACAAATGTGATCTTATCTTAAACAAGTATTTTAAGCGTTTGGTTTCCAAAATGTGATAATTGTAATAGCGTGATAAAAGCTTCACGTTTGTTCTCAGTTCAAAGCCAATCATTGATTTTTGACAAACTTTGTTATTGTCTGCATATTCAGGCTTTTTTAATCCACTTTTTTCCTGAAAACGCATTAATTGTAAGCTCTTATCGAGCGCAAACACCAGAAATACATTTGGAACAAGTCACGACGTATGTTTCATCTGTCATTATCAAGGTGCAGCAGGTCTGGTAAACACATCTAACTGTTTTCATCTTACTTTACCAATATAAAATGAATAATTTCAGTAGAACTTAATCAAAATGAGAAGTAATTTAAATACAATCGAAATATGGCCAATCTAAAACTCCACAATTAGGCTCGTCCTTCTGCAAAGCTGCTTCGAAGCATCTGCAGAAAAGTGCTATATAAAAACACGTGATGTGCCATCGGTTGTTACGGTTGGAGCACCGAAGCAGCCTAGAAACCTTTTGTGATTGCTTAGAGTATCATTGTTTTTTGCTTTCTGTGCATTTTAAGGGTTTTATAGTGTGAAAATAAACTTCTGATTGAACTCTGATTAAACTGTTCCAATCTCCACCAGATCGTATTAGTTATTAATGAATAGTTACCAAATCCTGTTGGTAACCTCACGAGGCAGAATATAAATGTCCTTGTCCGCTCTCTGGGCTCCATTGTGCCACTACAGTGTTTCCATAAATGCAGCACAGCTTTTCTTTCTTGTTTTAACAGCTTTAATTATAACTCTACAATTCCCAAGTCTCCCACCACTGTGACACATCCTTAATGCACTGCATGATCTACTATTGACTGAATGCCATTTTTGCTTAGCGTTCGAGTGTGTTCAGGGCTAGCTAATGAGCTCTAAGCTATGGCTAAAGCTGCACGGGAGAGAAGGCAGGTTAAAAGTGCAAACATAGAGTCTGTTCTGTGAGTACAGTGCTGTGTGTGTGCAGGACATGAACGACTTCCCACCGGAGTTCAGTCAAACGCTGTACCGGGGAATGGTGGCACCGAATGCAGTCAAAGGGACGGTGGTGACCACGGTTCACGCCGACGACCAGGACCCACTGGTAAGTGAACTTGAGTTGTTGTGTTAGATCTGCGAAATAAATAGTGTGACAATCCCAAAAATCAAGATCTACATCCTCT